CACTGACGCATGGATAACTCCGTCACTGCCCATACGTCGTACTCAACACAAAACAAGTAGCAATTAAGACTCAACTCCTATCCCTAAGCTAGGGTTAGACCAATACACTTACCATCAGTGCTTTGAACTCAACTCAAGCCTCAACTATACTTTACCCCGTGATTCCACCTCCAATCTGCTCGAATCTAGTCAAAGTCACTTAATTACTTCAATAAACACTAAATGAATCAATTTGAATGCATAAAAATGATTTCCCAAAGTTTTTCCCAAAAATTCCAAAATCGCCCCCGGGCCCACGTGATCAAAACCAGAGGTTCGAACCAAAACCCGGTTACCCATTCCCCCACGAACCCAAATATGTGATTTGTTTTTAAATCGGACCTCAATTGAGGTCAAATCCCAATTTTAGAAAAAAACTAGGTTTTTACCCAAACCCCCAATTTCACCCATGAGAATCATTGATTTTAGTTGAAAACATGTTAAAAAGATGTTAAGGAGTGAAGAAAATGAGTTAGAAATCAGATACCAATCGTTTTGAAGAAAAAGAATTGTTTGGAAATTGCTCTTATGTTTTGGGTTTTTGAAAAGTGAAAAATAACTGAAATTCCCGTCTATATATACCCCTCTGAAGTCCCAGCGCGGACCGCGCAAAAAGGGACCGCGGCCGCTGGCCTGGCCTACCTAAAGACCTGCGGATCTTAGCCCTGCGCGGACCGCGCAAAGCCGACCGCGACCGCACAGCACCCACCGCGGACCGCGCAAAGGCGACCGCGGCCGCGCTGGCCCCTCTACGGCCGCACGCGATTTCTCTCAGACCGCGCTAGAGGGTTCAGAGGCCTGCAATATTTCCTGAACTTGCAACAACTGATATTTTAAGTCTAAGGCATCCTGGAACCTACTCAAAACTCACCCGAGCCCTCGGGGCTCCAAATCAAACATACACACCACCTCAAAACCATCCTACGGACTTATCCGTGCGATCAAATCGCCAAAATAATATCATGAACATCAAATTAGGCCTCAAAACCCATGATTTCTTCCAAATTTCATAAAACATCAAATTATCCATTTCAAGTCCGGAACGCGTCAAACGACGTCCGTTTTAAACCAAACTTTACAGAAAGTGCTTAAATCATATATAAGACTTGTATCGGGCGCCGGAACCAAAATACGGGCCCGATACCATAGTCTCCTAATCAAATTTTATTTCCAATTTCCTTAATTAATTCCAGAAAAATAATTTCACACAAAAATTCATTTCTCGGGCTTGGGACCTCGGAATTCGATTCCGGGCATACGCCCAAGTCCCATATTTTCCTACAGACCCTCCGAGACCGTCAAATCACGGGTCCGGGTCCGTTTACCCAAAATGTTGACCGAAGTCAAATTTATTCATTTTAATATCAAAATTTAGCATTTTTCTCACAAAATTCATATTTAAGCCTTCCGGCTACGCGCCCGGACTGCGCATGCAAATCGAGGCAACCCTAAATGAGGTTTTCAAGGCCTCGAAAGTACAGAATGGGTAAGAAAACAGGTGATGACCCTTTGGGTCGTCACAACTTCCTATATCTATGTTCTGATTTTTTAGAGTGTATTCGATGTATTTAAGCTACTGTATTCATGAATACAGTAGCATTTCTAGGCGTGAAACAGGGGACTACAGCTAGACAGATTTTGTATTCGAGTGTATTCGACTGTATTCATGGCGTGAAACATGGGATTACAGCTGGACAGATTATTGTATTCGACTGTAGTGGAACAGGGGATTACACTGTTTATAAACGGAAACTGAATCAATTAACATAATAGACTCCTAATATAACTCAACAAACTCAATTATAACACACAAATTTTGTATTTCCAGTTATAAAAAAGATTCTCAACCGAAAAACACCCCAAAAACATAGCAATCTTCAGAGAAATTATATAATACATCTGAATACATACACTATATTAATTAAAAAAAACATATGAATACATTCATGGAATATAGCGAGACAGTGAATACAATGAAATACATAGAATACAGCGGGATACATTGAAATACAATGAAAAAAAGACAATGAATACAATGAAATACATAGAATACAGCGAGATACATTGAAATACAATGAAAAAAAAGACAATGAATACAATGAAATACAGATACATTGAAATGCATTGAAATATATTAATAGAAAATTCAAGTTGCTCAGCCCCCAACTCCGCCGTCTTTGTTCGAGAACAACCCTAATGTCGTCTCGTTGAAGCAGCATCAGTATCCAGTCCTCGCTCGCCGTCAATGTTGCCTCTGGTTGCCGACGATTAGCACGTAATTACCGGATTGAAGACATCATGTGATGAAGGGGAGAAGAAGAAACTTAGAAGCCGCTATAATAGACTGTCTCCATCGATGCCACTGTTCCTGTTACCATAATACCCTCACGTGCGCTTCAAAAAACCTATTCTTTACAATTGAATTTGAATGGCGCTTGTGGATTCGGACGGAAAACCCCAGATTGGGCAGAACCCTAGAACGACGAAGAGAAGAGGACACAACATAGCACATTGAGTTAATTCAACTTAATAGGCTGTAACAAATCATAAACTACAAATTAAATCATCACACATGTGCCATTTTCAAAGTCCACATGAGTCTGTTTACGGTTGTAAGGGTATTTTGGTATCCTTTTCTGGTTCTTGGCCGTATCAGATATTGAAGTTTTTTTATTTTTGTCCATAGTTGTTGACTTCACTCCTCTCTCCATTCCATTCTTGCTGAAAAATTTCAGATTGAGAGTCAAAGCTGCCCGTTTCGATCTGTATTTGGGAGAATTGTGGTTGTATTCATGGAGAAAGACTGGAGTTGAAAGAGAGAGGGTGGAGAAAAATCTGAAATAATGAGAGAGAAAAATAATACAAGGCATATTTTATGGCTTAAGAGTAGGAGGTGACCATAATAGATATTTGGCTATAAAAATAAATGGTAGCTATGAGATATAATTTTTTAAAAGGATATTTATTTAAAATAAATAAGGTAAAACCTTTGCTATAGGAGCTAACTATTCCTAAAAAAAAATCAATAAGGTGTCCAATTAAATCAGTGAAATTTGATAAGATCTACACACAAGCCCACTGTACCAGGTTCCTATAATTATAGAGCTTTTTTCCTTCCTATACCATATATAAAACTTTATTACCAAATATGTGCATAGTTTCTAATTTACCCGCTATGTTCACAGTTTTTCTACAATTATTGTACCATTCATTAAATACTAATTATTAGTAGCTGAATCTTCCTAATTAGGCGCGCTACAAATCAGGAACAGAATATTCTAATTGATTTCGCGACCTTCAGATCAAATTTGAAACGCAGATCCTATATCTTCAATTTAAAATCCATTGACAGCCATTAAAAAGCTTGAAAGCTTTGAATTCAAATTTGGGTTTTGAAAAATCATTATTTGTTTGGATTGGGTGTTGTTGAAAATAATCGAAAATATGGTTTGGAGTTTATATCTCAATTTTGAGGGGTTTTGGTGAAGATTAGACTTGGTTTTGACTGAATTTCAGATTGAAACTCGAAGAAGAAGAAGAAGACATATTGCAGAAATTGTAGATAAATTGTAGATTATTTGTATTCTGATTGTAGATGCTTTATTTTCTATTTTCACAAATAAAAAACGGCTAAAACTTCTACAAATCTACTGAAAAAATACAATTATGTCAAAAATCCCAATTATGCTACAATTGAATGGGAATTGGGATATAAAAATTCAATGTACCTAATTTGTAGATAAATTGTAGATTATTTGTATTCTGATTGTAGATGCTTTGTTTTCTGTTTTCACAAATCAAAAACGACTAAAACTTCTACAAATCTTCTGCAAAAAATGCAATTATGTCGAAAATCCTAATTAAACTACAATCGAATGGAAATTGGGATATTAAAATTCAATATACCCAGTTTGTAGATATTTTGTAGATGAATTGTAGATTATTTGTATTCTGATTGTAGATGCATTGTTTTCTGTTTTCACAAATCCAAAACGACTAAAACTTCTACAAAATCTTCTGCAAAAAAAATGCAATTATGTCGAAAATACCAATTAAGCTACAATTGAATGGGAATTGAGATATTAAAATTCAATGTACCCAGTTTGTAGATATTTTGTAGATAAATTGTAGATTATTTGTATTCTGATTGTAGATGCTTTGTTTTCTGTTTTCACAAATCAAAAACGACTAAAACTTCTACAAATCTTCTGCAAAAAACGCAATTATGTCGAAAATTCCATTTATGAGATTGGACGAATCTTTATGATTTAAGAAGAATAAATATTGAAATAACACATGGAGCTAAGTTAAAGCTTGTGACAACTTGTACATATAATGTGCAAAAATCTCCAACACAAAAGAAGAGTGTCCAGCTAGTGGAAGCCTGGGAACAACAGATTTTGCAGATCTGAATGAATTTAACTAAAACATCCTTCAACTCCAACCCGAAAGAATTGCGTTCTGGATATTCTAGTATTAACAGACCATGTTACAACCTCATCTTTTTATGGAATTTCCTGATAAACAAATCAGCCACATTATCGATCTCGTCTTCTAGTACGAAATTCTATCCTTCTTCCTCTTTGAAATTCCTCACCATATCTATAGCTGATGCATTTGGATCACCTAAATATTCATCCTCTTCATCGAACAACGAATGTGTCAAATCCGGATACTTATTCTCATAATCATCATACTTTTCGCCGTTGCTCAATACTTTATGTTTAATAACAGTACATAAACGTGGGTGAGGGTGAGGGTTTGGGAGAGAGAAACGTGGGAGGGGTGGGATATACGGTACCTTGAATTAAGGAGGGATATACGCTGCATTAATTGTACCCTTAAAATACAGTATGGTATAGAATTGATAATTTAGTATACTAAATGTAATTATATTAAACAAGGGTAATAAGGTTTCATATATGGTATAGCAATGTAAAAATTCCATAATTATATGATTGCGGGTTGGACTCAGAGAGGAGCCCAGAACCCGAGCATCAGAACTAGACTGTAAACATTTTGGGAGTTTTCATCTCCGGTGGTGGAGTGGTGGTTACGAGTAACTGGAAAGAGATTCGCAGCGGACGCGTGATTAGATGGGAGAAAACAGCTCTGTCACCGCCGCACCACCACCGCCACGGGGAAAATCCTCCGCCGAGGAGGACGCGCTTCTCAAGCAATTTTTCGCTGAGGTCAGCGAGGTTGAGCGCGATAACGAAGTTAACAGGTCAAGCCCCCCCCCCCCCTCTCTCACACACATATAGCTTTTTATAGCAGATTAAGTGCAAACTCAATATTGCTTCTTATATGTTTGACTCTAATTTTCTTCGTTTGGTTTAAAACTTAAAAAATCTGCAGGATACTTTCATGTTTCAAGTTGAATCCATTTGAACACCTTAACATGTCGTTTGATTCATCCATTGACGATGTCAAAAAGCAGTATCGCAAGGTATATGTCTTAAACATCCCCATTGTACTCAAATGAGTCCATTTTTTATATCATATTTTGTGACTCCACCCTAATATTTTTAACAGAAATTACGTATATGCAGTTGTCTTTGCTTGTTCACCCTGATAAGTGCAAGCATCCACAAGCGAAGGAGGCATTTGGTGGTAAGAATAGCCACTCTGTGTTGTTCCTCGTGTAGAGGAGAGTATTTTTAGTTTAGGTACTTTCTTGGGTGAGGGACTTCTCTATTCAAACAAACATTCATTATGTATTGGATGAATGCTAAGGTTCATATTTCTTAGTTCCTTAAGCCCCCAAGGCTTTGGTTTAGTGGTACAAGCGCAACTTGTGATGTGTGGCTTAGGCACATGTCACGGGTTTGAATCGTGGCTCAACCTGGTATTTAAGTGGAGAAGGATAGAAGGCAGGCGTATTATCCACTTAATTTCGAATAGTGCACCACTCGCCCTCGGGGGGTCTCACGGTTATTAAAAGAATTTTTTTTGGTCCTTTAGTCTTATACATGGATCTTTTCACTGAATATTTGGGTTATTCTTTAATCAGAGGCGGATCCAGTATCTAAGCTTTATGAGTTCAACCTTTACGGCTCCTAGTATTGAACCCATTATTTTTAAAAGTTATGGGTTCATATTTACTATTTGTTGCAATTTTAGTGGATTTTTACTCATAAATTTCTACTCCGTGCCGAAAGTACTGGCTTCAGATGAACCCAGTACCAGTGCTCTGCATCTGCCCCTGGTTTTAATTGTTATCCCTGTTCTGCTCAGTAGGTTGTTTAATGTTTATAAATTGGTATCTTTCATGTAGAGACGGCCCCTTAAATGATCTTTTTTCATGTATAGACTGCCTGTTAAATGATCAGTTAAAAACATTTTGCTTCGAGAAAGATTTTTCATAATGTAATAGTTGAAAACGGGTAACCTACTAAAGAGTGCAGAAGACCGCGGTTCCTGGGCCATTAATGTGAAACCTATGTTGTTTGGACTCTTCAATATCCATGCCACACGTGTCAACACAACATGGGTGTAGGTGTGGGTATTTGATCGACACTAGATTTGGTCAACTTATCTTGGGTGCTTTGAATACATCTATGACCGAGAAGTATAGATTAATTGAGTATTTTGTTAGATTTTTGGGTTTTATGTGTGTGTGTCTATATATATATATATATATATATATATATATATATATATATATATATATATATATATATATGTATATATATTTTGCTATTACGCGATTCTCTTGGGTCAGACATGCCTTTTTTTGGCAACCATGAGAAACACACCACCTTAAATGGAGCTTTGCACTTTCCATATGTGACCCGTTGTCCGGAAGAAGAGAAGAGCTGGTATGCAACTTTTATTAAAAAAGCTTCTTGTTGTTTCCTTTCCATACTAAGTAATCTTTAAAATTGTTCAACCATAAAATCTTCCATTGTCTCGAGGAAAAAAAAAGCTTTTGAATCATGAGATTTTGAACATGACATAGTATTAAATGATTATAATTTTTTTGAAATTTGTGATCTTAAATATATCATAATATTGTAGAGCTATAAAAACTTGTCATTAAGGGTAAATGAGAAGTACAAGTTAAATTGTTTTCAAATTTCAAGAAGTAACATTTTTTAGAACATACTGATAAGAAAATAGTGTTAATTTTCTTAAGGAGAGGGAGTACATTTTTCCTTGTAAGGACCTAAACATATAATATGCAAGTAAGTTGATGGGTCCCATTTTCCTCGAATGGTGGCACCGATGTGTCTGTGTACATTATACAATATCGGATTAGAGTAATGAGAAACTGAAAGTAATTATGAAAAATAAAATTGAGAGAGAAATGAATGAACAATAGGAAATTCAGAATTTTTGAAAGAATATAATTGAGTGTTAGTATTAACTAGCACTTAATACTAACATGGAAAAGAAATCACTGGCGGTTAGCATCACCGAATGCTTTAGTATTTAATTAGCATTCAACTTGAAAATCAAAACAAAACATTGCAATTGAAAATTCAAAATAAACCACTCAGTGTGTGTTTCATCTCTCCTCTGAGATGACTTCCCTAAATATATTTGAAAACCAGAGCTCATGCAGAAAAAAGCCAAGAAAAACATACAACTAATGATCCCCCTTCAAGAATTCGACAAATAGTGAATACCTCTTTCAAATGAGAGTATATCCTCGTAATCACATTCCAACACTAGAAAGAAACGGACAATGGAAAAGTCAGCAAAGCGAAGGATGAGTTTTCATGGATTATGGAGCATGGAAGACGAGATAGCTATCCTCGAAAGCATACTCAGAAATGGGCAATGGAGAAGGCATGCTCTTTCTTTCCAATTCTGCAAGGATTCCTTTTGAACCAATCTTCCGGATCATAAGCACTTCCCTTCACATAAAACCAAACTCGATCATTGTCCTGAATCACCACCATTTAAATTGTTCTTTCCCATTAATACAATCTTTTGTCCACGGAAACACATAGTGTGTTTCTCATGTCTGATCTCGAAAAAGGCATGTCTGGACCGATAATATTCCATAATCTCTGGAACTTTCTACAACGACTAATGTTTTTGAGCATGCAGAGGATAGCTATCTCGTCTTCCTTGCCTCTGAAAATTCTAGCATCCTCTCTAGCACCTTCCTTTGCTGACTTTTCCATTGTCTGTTTCTTTCTTTTGTTGGAATGAGATTCTGAGGATATACTCTCAGTTGAAGGAGGTGTCCAGTGTTTTTCAGATTTCTTGGAGGGGATAATTAGGCTGCAGCTTTTTCTTGGTCTTTTTTCTGCCTGAGCTTTTGGTTTTTGGATAAATTTAGGGAAGCCATTTCAGAGGAGATATGAAGCAATGGTGAGTGCTCTGTTTTGATTTTTCAATTAAAATGTTATGTTTGGATTTTCAAGTTGGACATTAGTTAAATACTAAAGCATTTCGGTGATGCTAACAGACAATGATTTCTTTTCCATATGTTAGTATTAAGTGCTAGTTAATACTAATATTCAATTTTATTCTTTCAGAAATTCTCAATTTCCCATTTATCTCTCTGGTGTTTATTTTTCGTAATTACTTTCATGTCCATAACTCTCATTTAATCATGTATAACACTATTTTTGTTTCTATAAATACACATGAAGATCACTTCAGAAGTATAGTCTATGCTGGGGTGTGTCACTATAGCAAAGACATATTTCGCTACTTCAGAATTTTGGTTTATACTGGGCTCATCTTCTTAACTAACTGGATAAAGCCTTTTCTTTTAATTAAGCTTCAACTTTTGATTATTTAGTGTATTGCTTGAAATAGTGGTTGATCGAATTTTCATTTTCAGATTGCAGAATAATGAGTTTCTTATCATGTTTCCCTGCTTAATTGATCATTCAACTTGGAGCACTTTGTTTTTCAAATAGCACCGTGCCGATTTCTCATTGTTTGAATGTACCAGACCCTTCGCCGAATTGTCAACTTAGTTACTTTTCATGGTAAAATGAAATGGTTTAGTGCTGGAATCAGTTATTATGTGTGTTTTCTTGCCTTCTTTTTCTGAAAAAAAGGAATCAATATTCTACGGTCACAAACTCACAATCTTTAAGGACTATCAAAAGAATGCACTTTCAGAAATATCATAGATGTTGAGTCAAAAGAATCAGAAGAAGCAATGGCGAGAGCTCAAAAGGAGTTTTAGCTTTTCTTGAATTTCAAAAAATACAGGCTTACCTATAGTCTTATTGTAGGATGATTTAGTTTGATTTATCATTTTACTGCTCAGTATGAAGTAGCTGTTTTATATCTATCCCTTCCTGCTTGTGAATTCTTTTATGCAATTCTATCTCATGTTCTATGCAGCCTTAGCTAAAGCGCAACAGTTATTGCTTGATCCACAAGAGAGGGATTACATTCTGAACCAAGTTAATGCGGCAAAAGGTGCACCATCACTTTGCTATTCTTGTGTCCTTTTTGCGTGGATAGACTGGCATTCACATTTTACTGTATTTTTGATGGAGCTTTAGAACAGGTCCTGAAGGTCTGAGTTCAACAAAACTATGTCAGCATTTGTTCGTGACTGTTTTCTTTTTGGAAAAAAACGTCGTTATTTTTCGAGAAATAGGGTTCGTTTCAAAATTTTGAATATTTTTGCATAAAGTTGAAATTTTGGCTAAAGATTAAAGAAGTGCTGAGGAGCTGATATTCACCTTAAAGATCTTCTTTCACTCACAGAAAACACACATAAATTATCTAAAAACTACAACTATCCAATGAAATCAGCTTGCACAACTTTTTGTTCAAAATGATGTTCAGACGTAAGATTTTCTGTACTTATATGTGCATAATGATGATCAATAGGGGGCAAGTGGATTGTTGGTTTTGCTTTTGGAAGTCTTCTTCTGTAGCTCAACATGGATAAATGGAGACTGTTTTGCATTCCCATCGTGGAACTAGTATATGAATTATTCTTCTGGTTTCTATGTCTCTGTCATTTTTTTGTCTCCTTACGCTGGATGTTACTTGTTTTCCCCTTTTTGTGTATGAGCACAGAAGAACTAAGATCAAAGTGGAAGAAGCAGCTTAAGAAAGACACTGCTAGCAAATTGAAGTCATTAGTTACTGAGGTAACTCTGCAATTGTCTCAGATTTTATCCTACTTCATCTGAATTTAGCTGGAAATATTGCTTCTGGATATTTGGAGGGTGAATTTTCTTTTGAAGCTGAAACACACTATTTCTTACAATGACACCGTGTTCATCTATACACAACCAAAACCACATTGAACCATGCAGGTCACCGACTCCTTGATTTGGTTCTGTAACTTGTTGTGTTTTGGACTTAATCTTTTCTCTACCTTTCTACTGGTGTAACTTCTTGGTGAACTTGTGTTTTGTTTTTCCCGACTCTTATTCCACCTTAATGATTTGGGCAGGGAACTTACATGGTTTCCCGTTTCAGTAGAGCATTTCAGAAAATTTGTAGCTCTATGTAACTTTTGAGTATCAAATGGTTGATTTCTTTACCTCCTGATTGTGAAAACAGGGAAAATATGACCAAGAACACGAGCAGTCACAGGAATTTCAGCAGCAGCTGAAGTTGAAGGTTAGAGAAATATTGACAGAACAAGAATGGCGGAGAAGAAAAATGGCAATGAGAGTATGCTTCCGTGCTTTTTTCTCTATCTATCATCTTTCTAAATTTTTACTAAGCTTCCTGGTGGATTTTTTGCAGATATCTGAAGAGGAAGGTCGCTTGAAGAAAGATGAGGAAGAAACAAAGGAGATGTGGAAAAGAAAACGTGAGCATGAGGAGCAGTGGGAAGGAACTAGAGAAAAGAGGGTTAGTTTTCAATTGCATTATGTACCTTACTGTTTCATGATTTATTTTTAAATTTACTGCACGAGATCACTATTATACTCCATCAGAGTGAGGTAGAATAGATTGGAACTCCCCTGAACTTGATGACTTTTATTCTGTGCACACCTGAACTTTACGTTTTCCTAGTTACTCCCCTGAACGAGACATTTCATTATCCTCGGCCCCCCTAGATGATCTCAACCCATGGAAGTATGGCATACACGCCGCCACATGGATTTTTTTGTCCGCGTGACATTTTTTAGAATAAAATATATATTTTGAGCTTTGTAAATCCACCCACTATTTGGATCATTTTTTTCGGGCCAAATCAGGGTTATTAAAATCGAGCGCTTCTCGCTTGAAGCGCTGAAGCGAGGCGAGGCGCAAGGTCTGCGCTTTTCTGACCTAAAGCGAGGCATTTGAAAAAAAGCGAACGCTTCAGGCAAAAAAGCGAGAAGCGAGGCGAGTAAAAAAAGCTAGAAAAGCTCGCTTAAGCGAGGTCTAGCGGTTGCCTAGGGTTTTTTCTAAAAAAATTTGCAAATACACTTATGCACCTTTCTTCCAAAACATTTCTCGCTACTGCTGAAAGCCAAAACATCCTGCGACATCTCTTCTTAAGTTCTTCTCTTATTCTCTCAAGGTAAGTTTCTCTTCTCTTCTTCTCTTTCTTCTCTTCTGCTTTTTTCTGGTTTACCTGCTTCCTCTCGACTCCTCTCCTCTTTTCTCGTCTTCTCTTTCTCTTCTTCTTCTCTAATTTTTTTCAGTTCTTTTCTCCGTTCTGCCCTGTTTTCTATGTTATCCTACTGCCCTGTTTTTTTTAGAACTGTTGTTCCCTGGTTTACCTTTTTTTTTTTGTTGGTGATTGTAGTAAAATTCTATCTTATTATTCAATGACATCAAGCCAAAAAAAGATCCAGCTTGGGCGTATGGAGTTGCAATTAGCAGTAGCACAAAAGTCCAATGTTATTTTAAGAATTGAAACATTTGCTTAATATGTTATTTTTATTGAGTTCTTGGTCATTTATCTATGCCTATTTAATATTTTTTATTTATGTATTAAAATGCGCTTCACATGAAAAAAGCGCGCGCTTCGCTTCTCGCTTCGGTGAAGCGAGGCCTCCTCGCTTTTTTCCGCTTCTCGCTCTCCAAAACACTGGGCCAAATTTGTAAACAACTTGGAACAACATCATTTTGGCTACAATTTTTTTATTTGGCTAAAGATAATGATATTCTAATCAAGTTATTTTTATATATTTGCTTAGGAAAAGAAGAAATACACAATTAGAACAAAAATCATTGCATCTAAAGAAGAAATAAAAAAGAAATACTCAGTTGGAACTCCTTTGGTTTGGTGAAAGAAATGTTTTGGCTAAAAATAATGAAATTCCAACCAAATATTTTACAAATTTGACCCCCAAAACAATAAATACACCGTTGAAATAAATAGTCATTGCATGAAAAGAAGAGACGCACATTTTTTTCTCTGTCTAGAAAATACATGTTTGAACTCCATCACTTTGGCTAAAGCATCTTTTTTATTGGCTAAAATAGTGGAGTTTCAACTGAGTTTTGCAAATTTGGTCCCGGAAAACGGAGAAGACATACATAGATGGAACAAGTAGCCATTGTATCTAAAGAGGAAACAAAATACAATTTGGATAAAATATTCTATGTATATTAAGAAGAAACAAGGAGAAGTGCAGTTGGAACAAATAAATCATTGTATTTGATTATGTGACAATTAATAGTTGCGAAAATACCCCACTTTGGAACCCGATTTTTCGATTTTTCTTCCCCCACATGCCTAAAAGATAGTGTATTCATGTTTTTTACCACATCAACGTCCAGGGCGGCCGAGGCTATTAAATTGCTAAGTTCAAGGGGGTAATTAGGACCAAAACTAGTTCAGGTGGACACGGAATAAAAAGTATCAAGTTCAAGGAGGTCTCGATATATTCTGCCAATTTTTGAAGTATTTTTGCACTCCTCATCTTGCTTTTAGAAGCAGTGCCAAAGGTTTTCCAATTTGTGGCACTCATTTGAATAAGATCTGGTTTTTCTTTCAACAAGTTAAATAACTTACATTATTAGCACAAAAGACGGTGTCAAAAGTATGTAAGTTTGTGGTTCAGTTGTAATCTATGATGTAAAAAAGCGATTCTTATGAACGAAAAATAAGCTTGTTATACTTGTCAACTTCATCTCACTATTGTGAAATAATCTCCTAGTTCTTTCCTTGCAAATAATCCGAAAGGACATAATTGTGTTTTTTCTTCAAGCTGCCTTCCGTTTGCTCCAATCTTCTGTAACATCTAAGTCACCATTTCTTGTTTTCACACCATTAGCTTAAGACAAGGAGAAGGCTTAGGTCCATAACTGTTGTGTATAGCTGCAACGCAACTGGAGTTTTCTTTTTAACTAGCTTGCTGGAATACTTATTTTATGTTGATTGGAGTATGTTTTTCTTTCATATAACTTGCAGGCGAACTTCTTAATTACTACTTACCTATCTTGCTTGTTGCTTGTCAGTAGGACTATTCGCTTTATTCCTCTTGTCACAAAATCTTCAGGTTTATAAGATTTTTAAGAATAAACTAGTGGTGTATCCTTGGTTATACTTGACGTGTAGGAACAGCAGCAGTATAGTTAAATGTTGTCTGAAATATAATCTACAGGAAGATTTCTCTCTGATAGCTGAGTTCCACTTCTTCGTGTCATCAGGTGTCCAGCTGGAGGGATTTCATGAAGGGCGGGGAGAAGGTATGTTTGGCTTAGATTGCAATCAACACATGCTCCACCACTTTACTCTAATATGGTAAAGAATAGGGTGTGGGCGGCGAGCATTTTATAATTGAATTTTCAACATGCTTTTTTGCAGGTTAAGAAAGGAGAGATTCGGCCTCCAAAGCTTAAGACAGAAGATCCCAACAAATCTTATGTTCAAAGACCAGTTAAACGAGGTTAACACATGTACTTGATAGTTTTTTATTCCTTTCGTAGTTGCGTGAATCTCATCCAAGCTTAAGAACTGGCTTCTTGAGGGTAAACTTCACGCTTGTATAAAGTTGTATACTTTGGGAAACTAATTATTGAGCAGCAAATTACAATTAGCATTCGAGTGTGGACCTGTCCGGGAAGATGGCAGCTTTTGGTATTCTCTTCTGCACTGGTTACTGTCACGCCCCGAACCTGGGCCTGGACGTAACACGGCACTCGGTGCCTGACTATATCTGACCGAGCGAACCAACTGGCTGGCTGAATCAACATGTGGTATCATAACATACTGAATGCGGAAGATAAACTAACACATGCTGATATACTGAAAGTCTGGATGGTATAAACCAAAGTGCGGAAATACTAATACAATTCTGAAACATATTTGTAGCCAACATAGCTTAATATGAAAAGCCTGCGACTCTGTCTAACTGTTACTCTAGTCTATGAAGCCTCTAATGAAATACTGAAAACACTGACTATATGAGAATACTGAAGACTGTAAAGTAATGATAATGCCCTGAAAGAATTGGGGATCACCAAACAGCTGGTACGAGAATCCTAGCGTTCTGAATCATCAACCTGTAAATCATTACCTGCATCGTGAAATGCAGGCCCCGGGCAAAAGGGATGAACTATTAATTTTTCACCAAACGGTTCATTGATATCCAATATATCTCTAAAACTCTGGGCGATTGTTTCGATCGTTTAACGCTTAGCTAAAAGCGATTCATCCCATATTATCACTTTTGCTTTTCTTATAAATTTAGCACTATTGCTCCGCTTTGATATATTTGTGATGTTCATTTCAATTATTTGAAGAGGTATATCAAATCTAAAGTGAGTTATACGGCCTCATAATAAAATCGTTGTTGGTACACCACTAGTTCTTGTTGCTGACAATATCATGCCTCTTGATCTAAAAATTTGCAAGTAATGCATGACATATGAATATTATTTCGATTCTGCCGGAGGTATCTACAAGGATAATCTCGCTATACCATAGTCGACGTTTTATAATATAATCTTGAAAGCTTATTCTTGTTCAGAATTTAGCTTTGATTGTGCTTTCTCAAACACTTGTATGACTTTCTTAATATTATACTAATCTTTTTTACTTTATGATCTAATTTTTTTAATCTCTAACACTTATTTTATGGAATAAAGTTATGTACCATAAGATTTCTTTTACTTAAAAGATAATATTACTCATATGATGAATTTTAAAAATATTTAATTGGATTATCTTGCTAAATAATTAATTGAAAGATGTGATTATTTTGTTTTAACATAAAAAATAATTTATTTTCTGTTGATTTAGATTCTTAGTATTAGTTCATCTCATGTTTGAATTAACCGTAATTATAGTTTTATCCATCATAGATTTTATTTTCAAAGAGTAAAAATATCGATATGACATTCAACTTTTAGATCTTTATGTTTGCAAACTTATTAGTGGTATTGATTCTGTAACGACCCGGCCGGTCGTTTCATGAGTTACAACCCCGTTTTCCCCATTTTTGCTTCTTTATGTGTTGTTCAGCTGTATTTCATCATACCATGTTGGTTGTTCTGTGTTCGGAGTGGTCTTGGAGTGGAATGAGACACTTAGTCTCTAATATAGGAGCTTAAGTTGGAAAAGTCAACCGGATGTTGACTTATGTATAGAAGGTCTCGGATGTGAATTCTGATGGTTTGGATAGCTCCGTTAGGTGATTTTGGACTTAGGAGCGTGTTCGAAATGTAAGTTGGAGGTCCGTGGTAGATTTAGGCTTGAATTGGCGAAATTGGAAATTTAGCGTTTTCCGATCAACAGTGGAAATCTTGATATCGGGGTCGAAATGGAATTCCGGAAATTGGAGCAGGTCCGTTGTGTCATTTGTGACGTGTGTGCAAAATTTCAAGTCATTCGGATGAAGTTTGATAGGTTTTGTCATCGTTTGCGGAATTCGGAAGTTTGTAAATCCTTATGCTTGAATCCGAGGGTGATTTGGTGTTTTGATGTTGTTTTGAGTGTTCCGAAGGTTGGAATAAGTTTGAATGGTGATATGTGACTCGTTTTTATGTTTGGCTGAGGTCCCGAGGGCCTCGGGTTGATTTCTGGAGGTTGACGGATCAAGGATGGGATTTGAGGAAGTGCTGAAGAATTTCCTTTAGCTGTCATAACCGCACCTGCGGAGTGGGGACCGCAGGTGCGAGGTCAGCAGAAGCGAGGGAGCAGCCGCAGATGCGGCCATAGGTGGGAAGGCTAGGAGCCGCAGGTGTGGAAGGAGGAATGCACCTGTGTGACCACAGGTGCGGGTATGAGGACGCATATGCGGTTAGGGGAGAATAAGTGAAAACCGCAGATGCGGTTGGTTTGACCGCAGAAGCGGCGTCGCAGAAGAGACTTATGGACCGCAGAAGCGGAAGTGCCGGGCAGAAAAGTATATAAGTTCTCCTTCGCGAATTTCAGTCCATCTTCCACCACTTTTGGACGATTTTGGAGCTCCAAGCAGTGATTTCAAGAGGGAATCGGGGGGTTTCAGTGAGGTAAGCTACTTGGGCTTTGTATTTTGTGTTTATGATGATTCTTCCACTACCTAATCATGGAATTTAGTGGGAATTTGGAGAGAAGTGAAGGGGTTAGGGCTTGAGTTTTGGAGAGCTTTGATTGGGGATTTGAGGGACCATTTGAGGTCCGATTTTGATGATTTTGGCATGTTTAGACTCGGGAGTGAAAGGCGTTTCTAGTTTTGCGATTTTGTTGGATTCCGAGACGTGGGCCAGGGGGATTGCGATTTTGAGTCCAATTCGGGATTTTTGGTGTTATTTGGTTATTTTTGTGTGGAATTCATTCCTTTAGCGTATATTGATGATAATATACTGATTTTGGTTAGATTCGGAGTATTTGAAGGCTGGATCGAGAGGCAAGGGCATCGCGGGTTAGAGCTTTAGCTTGGTTTGAGGTAAGTAACACTTTCAAACTTGGTTCTGAGGGTTTGAAACCCCGAGCAATGTGTTCTATGATTAAATATTGAGGTGACGCAAATGCCAAGTGATGGGTATCTGTTCAGATTTGTATTTACTTACTGTTGAGCTGAATACTTGAAATGCAAGCATGCCTACTTTACTGTACAATTTAATTGTGTTACCTGTTGAGGTTTAGTTCGTCACTACCTGTCAGTCCATAGTTTGGACTTGTTACTTACTGAGTTGGTGTACTCACGTTACCCCCTGCACCTTGTGTGCAGATCCAGGTATCTCAGGCTGCGATAGCGGCTGTTGACTATTCCAGATGCGGATTTCACCGGAGATAGCGAGGTAGCTTCCTGACGTTCACAGTCCCGCCTTCCTCCTTCTTTATCTTTCTTCTAGTATATTTTGGATATTTCAGACTATTTTGGTCTAGTTGTGTGTAACAACCCGGCTGGTCATTTTTGGAATTTACGTCCCGATCCCCTATTAACTGCTTCCCCCAAGTTTATTTCTGCTATTTCGATTTGCCGGGATGTTCAGTTTTGAGTTTCGGAGAGTTTTGGGACACTTAGTCCCTAAATGAGAGCTTAAGTGTTGGAAAGTTGACCGTAGTCAGAACAATGTGAAGACGGCCTCGGAATGGAAATTCGATGGTTACGTTAGCTCTGTTAAGTGATTTCGGGTTTAGGGGTGTGGTCGGATTGTGTTTTGGAGGTCCGTAGCTAATTTAGGCTTGAAACGCCGAAAGGTCGAATTTTAAAGTTTCCGGTTCGATAGTGAGATTTTGATCCGAGGGTCGGAATGGAATTCCGAGAGTTACAGTAGTTCCGTCATGTCATTTGGGATGTGTGTACAAAATTTCAGGTCATTCGGACGTGGTTTGGTTGGGTTTTTGATCAAAAGCGGAATTCGGAGGATTTTAGAAACTTAGGCTCGAACCCGATGTGTTTTGGTTATTTTGATGTTGTTTGGAGTGTTTTGAAGATTGGTACAAGTTTGAATAAGGTATTAGGTGATGTTTGTGCTTTTGGTTGAGGTCCCGGGAGCCTCGGGGTGATTTCGGATGGTTAACGGGGAGTTGAGGAAATGTAGCAGCTGTTGTATTTTTTTTTGCTGCTTTTGGTATTTTCGCATCTGCGGTTTGGGGACCGCAGATGCGGCGCCACAGAAGCGGCTAAGGAGACCGCAGAAGCGGATTTTTGCCTTTCCTTCAGGTTCTGCAGATGCAGAAGGAATACCGCAGAAGCGGTGGCGCATCTGCGAAAGGGTAAAGCAACTGAAAGAAAGAATTATAAATGCTGAAACTGAAACTAAGCTGATAACTGAGAATTGATAATTGATAACTGAAATGATAACTATTGAAATTGAAACTGAAATGATAACTAGTAACTGATTACTGAATTGATAATTGGTGACTGAAATGATAACTGATAACTGGACTGATAACTGATAACTGAACTGATAACTGGTAATTGATATGATAACTGATAACTGAAATGGTAACTAATAATTGAACTGAAAGGAAGTAAGGATATGAATACTCCCTCTTCTGAATGATGAACAACCTGTTTAACTGAATATTAAATTGCGGCCTCAGGCCTAATATATATATGTGCACAACTGCGGCCTCGGGCCCAAGTATACGTATACATAACTGCGACCTCAGGTCCAAAATGCATAAAGCATAAACTGTGGCCTTAGGCCCAAATATACATAAAGCATAAACTGCGGCCTCAGGCCCAAAGATGCATAAAGCATAAACTGCGGCCTCAGGCCCAAATACAGGTGTTCAACATTCAGGAACTGAGAATCAAACTGTAATACATGATAGTGAAATGCTGCATCATACTGAGTTACATGATACTTGAATACTGGATCACACTGAGTTACATGATACTGGAATACTGAATAGGACTTGACTGAGACATGTATTCTTGAACTGATTATGAACACTGAAACTTCAACTGTTTATGGCATACTGAGTAATCTATACTAAGACTCGGGGGCATCAAACCCAAGTCTATATTGAATACGCACTAAGCTCACAACGTTCAGAATGAAAGTGGTGAACGAGTTATGAAGCTAGAGAATAGAAGTTCTGCAACTATTCAAGGAACTAGGCTAAACTATATTTCTGAGGCAATTAGTAACGTCGTAAAAGAAACTTAG